AATGTGTTTTTTTTTCCAGTGCTCACTAAACCACGACATTATATTGAAAAACAAAGAAAACCTTTGAACGTAGGGTTTTAATATTTGTTGGTTGGTTTTCCATTGCGTTACATGGAACAAATCTTTGGGTTGCATTGACCAAATCTCTCTTCGTGCTCTGTCCAGAGGCTCATTGTAGTGCGAGTAGAGTTGTTAAATGAGCCTTGACCGGATCAAAGTTTTCCAGGAAGATGTCTGGAATGAGAGCAGGAGGGTTTGCGGAAGCATCCATGGCAGCGAACATGGCTTGCGGTTCAAAGTGCCGATAATTATGCGGTCCGCACTTGCAATTGTGTGCTCTTCATTAGGCGCTCGAAAGTTGTATCGAAAAGAGGATAAATTGGAATGAGTATGGCAAGGAGAGCTCGTCCTGAATTAGAATGAAATAAAATTTCCATTGGACATAAATTCTGTAAAAGGACGTTAAGTTCTTGAATTGCTGATTAAGGATTTGTATTTGGCTTTCAGTTTTTAACGAGAGAAATTATGTGACGATTCAAGTGCAAAAGCTCAAATAACTCAATCCTCACTGGCAAAAAAACACATTGGATCTAGAGTCCGGACTCTTGAAAACATCGACAAGAAAAAGTACTCTTGATTCAATCGGACTTTTCGCTTGAATTTACCTTAAATCAAGAACCAAGCCTCTAAATTTAAGCGGATTTCGTTTTGATTCAAGTAAAAATCTCAGAGATTCTCAGATTGAATCAAGAGTATTTTTTCTTGTCAATGTTTTCAAGAGTGTGGACTCTAGATCCGATGTGTTTTTTTTCCAGTGCTCCCTTTATTTTTCTGAACCCAGTCAAAGTTGCATGTGATGATAATGTTTAACTTGAGAGCCGCCCGCCGTTTCAGAGACTGAATTCAGCTATTGACATTTTGACGGCTCGTTGAGGTATAGCCAATGGTGAGACGATTAGTGTCTGCAAAGCGCCTTCAATTCGGTAAGTATGCAACGCGGACATCCATGGAGCTTGAATAGTTGCATCCAGGCGTTATAATGAAATTCGTCCGTTATCCGTTGCGTGCGACACTCAATGAGGCTTCGATTGTTCCTCATGCACCTTAACTTATTTCCAGTGATGCTTATTATGCCGATGAAGTAAACCAGGACTGGTTTTTATCGCCAAATTGTCAATTTCCATGATTTAAATGTATTACAGCGTTGCCGACTCTTGAAATCGCCAAAAAAATCGGGTAATAGAGCAAAATATGTAGAGTTTCCTTGAACTTATTTAAATTAGTTGTCTTTTATTTACATATGAAGGCAAAAAGTCAATTTGGCCCCTAGAAAATCTTCAATGGCGCCTAAAAATCGGGCTTGATGCGCCATTTAGCTCCTAAAACTCAAAGGTGAGTTTCGAACACTGTTAACTACACTTCGTGATGAACCCTGCCTCCCATTTAACTCAACGCTTCTCCGGGCTCATCTCTCAGTCTAGTTACGCCCTTATGTCAGTCAAGCGACGAATCGATATATCGGACAGCACGCCACGCCACTGGGCGAAATGATTCCACGGCAGCATGTTCTTCGGAGCTCGTTGCTCGTTGAGGCTGCGGCGGTGAACTGCAGTGGGTCGGCGAGCGAGAGAGCACGAGTTGGCTGCACATGAGGAGACGTAGACGGACGCAGATTGCGCGATCATAAACTTGACTCGACGCGATAATGGCGCGGCGCATCCGTCGTCGCGTCGTTGGTCTCCGCCGCGAGCTGCACCCATGACCACGCCGACAACGAGACGTGCTCGCCGTCCGTCATGTTGCCGCTTTTTCGCACTGCCGCCTGATTCTTCAAATTGATAGACAAAACAGTCGAAAAGAAAATCGAGTGATCGTATTGGAGTACAGGGTTGCCACGGTCAGGGAAAACCTGAAATGTCGGGGAAAGTGACGAAAATGTCCAGGAAAACCCCTCCATTTGCTTCCTAGAATGGATTTGAGGTTTCGAACAACAAATTTTGCCTGAAAACTTTTTTCAATCACGGCTTCTTGACCATCCGTCACATCTTCGATTGTCAGGGAATTTCGCCTAAATGTGTCAAGAAAATGTCAGGGAATTTTAATTTCAAAATTCTGTGGCAACCCTGCGAGTACCTACCCATGTGAGAAGAGGAATACGGACAGGTCGAAAAATAGAGCTTAAAGGGCCAAAAGAGCAGCCAACCCTATAGCACATAAAGTGTCGATGCCAAATCCAGGGCTGGATTTACCTACTTGCCGCCCCCTTCTCATTTGTTTTGAAACTCCATAGAAACCATCAAGTGAACGTGCCAGCGGGGAGGGGGTGCATAAGACGCATTTACTCGTGTTGAACACATTTTTTGGAAAAGCCCTGTCAACACTACTAGCAAAAGCTCACGGAACTTTGCGCGAAAGTTAAGTTTCGTAAACCTATCTCTGTGTGGACAAGGCCTTCCATGTTTGGCGCAAAGCGTGAAGTATTCAGAAGGTCTTGTAGGCGCTATGCGTTTCACGCTGACCGCACTGTGTTTGGTTCAATGCGTGAAGTATTCATGCATTCTTGTAGGCGCTATCCGTTTCACGCTGACCGCAATGACCGCACTGTGTTCGGTGCAATGCGAGAAGTATTCGTGCAGTCTTGCAGGCGCTAATACACGTATGTGTTACATGCCGATCGCCGAACCGAGGACTTCTCCTTTTCATCTCAAGTCCTCGTTATCATTTCTCTCTAAGTCGCGCCGTTCCAGGCCAAATTGCGTGTTTGGTTTCTCTCTTAACTCGACTAACTGAGGGTACTGTCTCTTGTATCACTAAGAGACGACAAAATTAGAAATTACTACACTCTCAGTAAATGAGAGATTTTGTCGCCTTTTCTCGTTCGTAATTTTTTTTTGTCTAAATCTGATTTTTTTTATACCTACACCAGTGGCGTGGCGTGAATTGCGATATATTGATTATTATGCCATTTAAACCTATGAAAAAAGATCGATTATCAGGGTGTTCGCAGCGAACACCTTAGTAATCGATTCTTTACCATAGTTTCAAATGGCGAGATATCGATAATCGATTATTCACGCCACGCTACTGACCTACACTTAAAAAAATTGCAAATGTTTGCCGCCCCTTATATTTGCCGCCATGGGCCGCGGCCCATGTGGCCACCCCCTTAATCCGGCCCTGGCCAAATCAAGATGCACAACCGCGTCATGTGTGCATACCATGATTTTTTCCACATTGGTTTCATCCATCATTACCGTGAGCCACCAGTACAACTGTGTGTCTCTTCGGGTGATAAAACCACGGTTGACGCTACCGCGGTGCATGACGTCATACGCCGGGGTTTTCGATTTGCGATATCTCCGTAAATAGTAAACGTGGAATCTATGCGTTTGGACAAAGCGTATACATTGAAACGGCATTGAATGACACGGTTGTGCATCACCAGCCGCACATCTTTTCTTGTCAAAATTCATAGTAAGTAAAAATATTTTGAATGTGAAATTTTTGACTTCAAGCAAACCTATTAGTCCACTTTTTCCTAGTGTCGGTCTAGCTACGGCTAGAAATAAAATATGTAGGCTTACAATGATCTAGATTCAAAAAGATGACAGATTCAATCGCCGGCGAATGTTCTTCCTGCGGTCTGGAAACGTAGAAAATGTCGTTGCGTAATATCCGCTGTCAGTTACGAAGACGGATCCGGTTAAAAATTATTAGGACGGTTAAGTACGAGAGCTCTTCGGGATCTGTGCGTGTCAGAAAACATGTCGCATAACGCCATTCCTTGTGCCCTGACAACCCTGGAAACAGGACTCTCTCCATAGTGCCCCTTAAGTAATGAGAGATAACTATTTTAACTCGGGGGTTGTGAAGCTGCATACTCGCCGTTTTGAAGGCGATTTAAGCACACGCGCCAGAAAGCGAGTGTTCTCGGTTTCGGGAGTGTACAAATGCGTACTTCTATCATTCGAAGAACGCTTATAGAAGGAAATTTTAGCGTATCGCGATGCTCTCATGATTTTACGCCCTTTCTTTGACAATATTTAAACATCAAATTTAAGATAAATAAATAAATATTAATGCTAAAACCGTTACATGCCCAGACAAATTTCCACCAAAATCAAAGGGAATTTCCGGTCCATATTTTTCAAGAGGGTTTTTGCTCTTTTAAACAGCATTTCGATAGCAGCATATTCAGCATAATAACATTTCAATTGATTGATAAGAAGCTTTACAAGATTTACATACAAGAATTACTAATTTCTGTCGATAAAATTTGGCTGAAATATACGATAAACCGGAACCACTCGTACATTTGACCAAATTTTGGCTCTCAGAACACTGGAAAAAAAGTCGCTTGGATCTAGATTCCAGCCTCTTAAAAACATTGACAAAAAAGAATACTCTTGATTCAATCGGACTTTTCGCTTGAATCAAAAGGAAATCCGCCTAAATCAAGAGGCTCGGCTTTTCTATTCAAGGAAAAATCTGATGGAATCAAGGGTATTTTTTCTTGTCAATGTTGTTAAGAGTCTGGACCCCAGATCCAAGCTACTTGTATTTCCAGTGAATGAATGTATTCTGATTTTTTTCAGCTCGAAGCACGAAAGAGGGAAACACTTCCTCTCGATCTCCAAGAGCAAAAACAATATTCAAAAATTCCGAACTTGAAAATTTGGCATCGACGTTGGTCGTAACTTCTTCGACTGCAATTTCCCAAGTGGCGACCTTGAGACGCTCCCCACTCGCGAAACACGTCTCCCGGCGTTGCCAAATCCCACATAAATCCCGCCTAATTCACACAGCATCGTACACGAAACGTATCCAATTTCGCACCACCGACACCGCCTAGCCGTCGCGGCCAGGCGGGGGAACCTCCATTTTTAGCCGTCTCAGACACGTAAAATCGGCAACGCCGCACCGTAATGACGTCACAAGCTATTAAAAAATCTAACGCACGACATATAAATCCATCGGGCGACTCATCGGGCGATGAATCGTTGAGCTGGGCGGGAAAAAAGCGACCGCGGAAGCGTCGACTCGGCAACATCGCGCACCGAAGTCAAGGTCACGCCGCCAAGTTCTCAAAACCTAAAAGCGCGAGCAAGGCAGTCAGAGTCGGGAAGCTCGCGCAAATCCTTCTCGGAAATCGTCCCCCTCGAAATCCCCCCCAAAACCCCCCGAATCCGCGGTTTACGGTCCGGAGTGCGCGTGGTGAACTTGGATCGGACGGAACGGCGGCGCGCGGATCCGGGAATTGGGTCGCCATATTGGGCCCGATGGAGATGAGCACTTGTTAATGTAGGTTAGTGTTCGCGGCTTCGGATGTTTGGAGTGCGGTTTTTTCGGCCACTGGTTCAAGTTCAACTACTCGTGTCGGGCCGAAATGGCGCAGTTCCGACGCCAGGCTCCGCGGGATTCTCGCGGATTCCCTCGGGAAAATTGTGCAAATTTGTGGTGGAAGTGCGAGCTGGGATTAGTTGATTTTAGTTATATTTTCTGTATGTTGGAGTTTATGGCCAACGTGCGTTAAAAATGCAGCATATAGCTGAAAATCTCGATACAGAGGAAAAAAAGCTCATACGAGCACAATTGGATCAGTGAGAACGAAAACACGCCAACTCCGTAACTCGAAAATGCTCAATTTTCATTAAAGGCAGTCAATTGAATCTGTGAGAACAAAAACACACCAACTCCATAGCTCAAAAATGCTTAATTTTCATTAAAGGCAGTCAATTGAATCAGTGAGAACGAAAACACGCCAACTCCGTAACTCGAAAATGCTCAATTTTCATTAAAGGCAGTCAATTGAATCTGTGAGAACAAAAACACACCAACTCCATAGCTCGAAAATGCTTAATTTTCATTAAAGGCAGTCAATTGAATCAGTGAGAACGAAAACACACCAACTCGGTAACTCGAAAATGCTCAATTTCCACTAAAGACGGTTAATTCACTCAAAGGTCATTGTAGTTAGCGCATCTGTTCCAACTTGGACCTTTAAAGTGTCCATAAGTGCTTGTCTTTTGGCAGCAAAAATATGTTTCTTAAACTAACTTCTTCACCTACTGTGCAGTTTTGTGCGTGTCTTGATTATTTTCATTTTTCGAGTTGGTGTGTTTTCGTTCTCACTGATTCGATTTTCATTAAGGTCATTGAAGTTAGCGCATCTGTTCCAGCTTTTGCCTTTGAAGTGTCCTTAAGTGCTTGTCCTTCGGCACCAAAAACATTTTTCTAAGGCTAACTTTTTCACCCACTGTGCAGTTTTGTGTGTGTCTTGATTTTCATTTCTTTGAGTTGGTGTGTTTTCGTTCCCACTGATTCAATCTTCCCTCAAAGAGATATATGCTGTTAAAAAACTGCAACATACTGTCTTGCGATCCGTGCGTCCACCGCAATCAGTTTGTGTTAAATTTTCTGGCTAAGCTGGGCGATTTGTTCGAAATTGGAAGTATTTAAAGCGATCTCGCAACTTCCCTCAAAATATGTAAAATTTTATGAAAAATTATCCCAGATGACATCTAAATTTAAAATTGTATGGAGATTATAGTGAAATGCGTGCTGGAAATAGTTCAGATAGGATTCATTCATTTTAAATAAGTATTTAAAGCGAACTCGCGACTTTCCTCAAAATATGTAAAATTTTGTACAACATTATCCCTGCTAACATCTAAACTTGAAATTTTATGGAGATTATGGTGAAAGTACGTGCTAGAAATAGTTCATTCAGTTGAGTTTTTGCATTTCCCGGCGTAAGTAGGCAATTTATTCTAAACTGGAAGCATTGCAAGTGAACTTGCGACTTTCCTTACAATATCTCAAATTCCTTCAAAAATCATCCCATGCTAACATTCAATCTTAAAATTTTATGGAGATAATGGTGAAAATGTGCGCTGGAAAAAGTTGGATTCGCTGGATTCAGTTGAGTTTTTACATACTCCGGCGTAAGTAGGCAATTTACTCTAAATTGGAGGCATTTAAAGCGAAATTGCGCCCTTCCTTACCATTTTGTACAAAAATTATCCCTGATAACATAGTGTGATCATACTGGCTAACATCCGTGATTAACATAAATTTAATAATATTTTAGCGGTTAAAATGCTCCTTGTTGGAGAGTGTTACGTGAAATTTCTTTCGATCTCGGGAAATGTGTTGTGAAGTGATTCTATGTGAAGAATTTGTGATTTAGTTGCAGATTTTCTACAGATCATTTGCTAGTATTTAAAGGGGTAAGTTGAATAGATATTTTACACTTAAATGGAATTGGTAACCTGTAAGTAAAGTTCATTTGCTCCTTTATATGAATGGTTCCCTGCTGCCACTTCAACATTACATAAACTGGATCAAATTTTGCAATAAGGAACTACTATTTCTGGCTCATTTTAGAAAAAACATGTATGGCATCGGTTTCCCTATGCAGCAAGGTTCTTTTGCAGAAGAGCCAGAGATAGTAGTTCCTTATTGCAAAATATAATCTAACTGTGCCGTAAGTTTTGTTAATCATATGACATTTTAAGAAAAAAAGAACTCAGTAAACTATGGTGCAATATTTAAAAGATTGCATTTTCTCCATTTTTCTGTAGAAAAACCTGCTCAGCAATATATTTCGGGAAATCCAGCTCGAAATATAGCACAACTTCACGAAAAATTTGAGCAATATTCAATTAGAACTTTCATTGAAAAATAAAAGCTTAATTCAATTCAATCTAGTTCGTTCCCTTTACTCATGGCTATTGATCGGCTCTAATTCCACACATGTAAAGCGAGTGAGCAAAAATGACCACAAATCGCTGCTAAAATTGATTCTTGCTTTCAAAGACGCTTGTACAGCTCAATGTGTCTTTGTATCTTTTTAAACTTCCGTGATGGTAGATCACAAAATTTCCAGGAAAGTGTAGGCCGAAACTAAGTTGGGGCAGGGAGATTGCTTCCCATTGGTCAGACGTGACGTCAAACCGAATCGAACGGCGGGAACGAAGCTTTAGCGGATTTTCTGGTTCAAGTTCAAGTTGATCTGGCGCGCGCAATCAAGCCGGGCACCGCGCCTCAAGTGTGCTTCACGAATAAAGTGCGTGACATTGAAACGGATATCACAATAGGCATCTCCCGCGATTGCAGCGAGAGTTCATGACGTCGTCATCGCTTCGCCCAAAAGAAGTCGGTGATGCCGCCGACCAGTTTTCTTGCGACAAATTTTCTCTTCACAGCAGTGTTCGAAACTCACAGGTGCCAACGCGTCAAAGAGATCGGCCGTGGCGCCTAAAAAATGAGGATTCTGCGCCAATTTGCCCCCGAAAAATTGCCCCCCTCCCCTTGAAACAAGTTAAATTCTTCTGTCGGGCAATTTTTTAAATTTAGACGCACGACACCGGATTCTAACTTTTCACTAAATACGCCGTGATTTATAGGCAAAAAGTCAATTTGGCTCCTAAAAAAATCTTCAATAGCCCCTAAAAATCGAGCTTGATGGGCCACACGGCTTCTGAAACTCAAAAGTTACTTTCGAACACTGCTTCAAAGCGAGATCCCACGAACAAATAAAATTATTGGCTTCTAGAGACCTTTAGGGTGGCATAGCAGGACTATTGGACCGCGTTTAACAGAAAATAACCAAGACAAATCAGCTATTACCAAATTTAAATGGGAAATGAAATTTTTTACGCGTAATTAAGATGCTGCACGTGTGAGGAATTTGCGATTTGACTGTTAGTTCTTATGTAACATTTCGCGAGAAACACGATGGTGCTACTGGTTTTCTCTAAAATTAACTCCCAAGCTCAAAAAAAGCTCTTAAGTTGAGGGCAAAATGCAGGGGATATCCTACGCTATCCTGAAAGTCCACCTCTACATCAAAACAAACTCTCCATGCAAAGATAGGGAGCAAATACATTGACAGGGCTGCCACTTTATTTGGGAACTCCAAAACTGAAAACACTGCAACACTGCTAATGTATTTGCTCCCTATGTTTGCATGGAGACTTTGTCTTGATGTAGAGGTGGACTCTCAGGATGACGTGGGATATCCCCTCCATTTTGGCCTCAATTGGAGAGCTTTTTTTGAGCTTGGGAGTTGATTTCAGAGAAAACCAGTGGCACCATCGTGTTTCTCGCGAACTTTTGCATGAGAATCAATCATAGAGTACATAGAGTAGTAATGTAATTGGGAGAGCTGGCGCCACTTTTAAGCATTTTCAATGTCCCGAATTCCGAGACTCCTGTGTGACGCCGGGTCACTTTTTCGATACATAATCGATTGTTTGCGATACACGGGTACCCGGCCATCCGATGACAACAACAACAACAACAAAGGAGATAGGAATTACCACGTATTCCACACCGCCATTTTGGATCGAAAATGTATCGAAAAAGCGACCCGAACTCGGCGCACACCGGGCTCGGAATTCGTCGAGCAGAACATGGCGCCAGCTCTCCCATTTACATTACGACTCTATGTACTCTATGGAATCAATGGTCAAATCGCAAATTCCTCACACATGCAACATCTCCATTTTCCCGGGCAGGTACAGCTGGAGGAAGAAAATTCATTGATACAAATATCATTTCCTTTCGGATGCCTCGTTCGACAGATCACAAGAGAGGAAAAATTGAACGAGGGAACCTAGTTCTTACGTCAAAGGTAACCGGTGAGCAAATCATCGACTCCGGACGAGGACTCGTTGAGTTTCCGCGGACAGCGTGACGTCACACGTCACACTGCGCGAGTGTCGGACCGCGGTTTTGCCGATAGTTTTCTCGTTCACTGGTTCAAGTTCACCGGGACTGGGTCAAGAGAATGAAATTCAACACGCCCATTACTATGACACACCAGCCGGGCCGGTCGCAAATCCGAGAAATAATATTTCCTCATTGCTCTGTGGCAAACGTGGGCTCCTTACAGCGATCAAGTTGGAAAAACTTTTTTCAAAAATTCTTTGGAAAAAACAGATTCAAATGTTCGTTTGCGGGAAGCCTTTTCGGCTATCTCTGAGTAAGATTGGGACTCCTCAAGAAATGCCCATGTAAAAAAGTCTTCACGAGAAAGAAATTGGACCGCATTTTGCAATCAGGAACTACAATTTCTGTTTTAGTTTAGAGACAATGTATGTACCGTCAGATTCTCTATGCACATGAGTATTTTAAGAGATGAACCAGTAATTTTAGTTCCAAATTGCAAAATATAGTCAGATTATCATTTAATTTTTTTTTTAAATTTTTTCAAACACTTAATTTTAACTTAAAATACCAACTAGGGTTGGACTTAATTTCGCAGATAGGAACTAAAATCTGGCTGATACGTTAAACACTTATGTGCATAGCGAAACTACAATTACATACGTTGTTTCTAAAATAGTTCCTAACTGCAAAATGCAGTCCAGTTGAAAGTACAGTAAAATATCAACTACACTTGATATTTTAAAAGGTTTTTCAAACCATTTTTTGCATATAGTTTAGATCTCGTAAATTCTACTTAAAAATACCCCCAAGAAGTTTTCCTAAACCAAACATTTTAACAGTTTTTTTTAAGAGTTGTCTTTTAAAATTTTACGAGATTTTAATTTTCCTATTTCTCCTCGTTGAAGGCTCCGATCTTGTTAAGTGCACTTTGATTGAATGAAAAAAAAGAATAAAATAACTGAGCACTTTTTGATGTCCCGTTAAAAATTTCATAGACACCAGCTTTGGAATTATTCGCATTTGCGTTGCTCAGAATTTATTGTTTTTTCCCGGCGCTGGTAAACGCGAATACAAATCATGGAAGTTTCTAGCGTCTACGAGATGGCGATTTGAATGTTAGAATGACAATTGCAAATTCTTAACCTTGAAATCATCAGATACAAAGTACCCATGATAAACCATTCTCATTAATTTCTAGTCAAAGATTTCAAAAAAAGCTTGTTGGAGCCGAAAATAGCAGTCAATTGCATGTAGCATTGCACCAATCTACTTGCGAGGTTTAAAACCTTGGTTAAAACAGTTCTGGCGCATATTAAAAGGCTGATACCCAAGATTTGGTTTAGCTCCATTAAAGCAACAATCATAACCTCTGCGTATTGTAAAATTTGTTTCAACCCGAAACTACGAAAATCGCTCCGCAAAGTTAACAAATGGCGTGTTAGTTGAAACTCTCAGGAAAGAAGGAAATGAAGGGGGGGGGGGTAGGAGGAACCAGAGAAGGAAAGCTTTGCACTTGGTGCTAAAACTCACCATAATTTTTTCTCTTTAATACGGCACACACTAAAACACATTTTCTGAAGGTATTATTTTGACTTAAAGCGTCGTTTTTTGTAGACAAAATTTGGTTTTTCCAAAATTAAATCCGTGAGGATTCGACTCAACATCAGATTTTGTAAGTTACAAAGCGTCATTTTGCTATCGTTAAGTTTCGGTAAAAAAAAAAAAAAAAAAAAAAAAAAAAAAAAAAAAAAAAAAAAAATGAAAGCGAAACAGCGTTTCTTTAATTCAAAATAAACCAAATTTTGTCGACAAGAAACGATGCTTCTCGTCAAAAGAATATCTCAAGAAAACTTGTTTTCAATGCAGGTATATACTGTACACTCAAGAAGTGAAGAGTATTGTTAATTTCTATTACAGGCTGGAATCAAAGTAAGAAACCATCTCAACAACTTAAGTGATAACAAAACATATCGCAAGCTCATGAGAAAAATTCACAGCAACAACGTTCATAATCGCACACTAACAATCATGCCCAGTCTGATGATGTTTGAGTTGTAAACTTGTAATATTACAAGGACATGCTGGCAATATTAACTTATACTGTTAGGTCAAGAAAAAACTACTATTCTACATAAGATTCTCCTTTCTGTTATGCGTTTTCCCCGCGATGGGGCAGCAAAGATGTCCCCGAGTTTTTTAAAGAGAGAGGAAGGAATTAAAGAGAGAGAAGAAGGAGAGGAGAGAAATTCGTCGATAATAGCCAAATGGGGTTTGACATCTGACCCTCCGTTTCTGATACCGATCGCCAAATAGGTTAATTAAGTTTGAATAGACTCTTCTTTGACTGTTGCCAAATTTTTTAGTTCTATCCTTCATCTTGGACAACTTTAAATGCCAACTAAATCCGTTGTAATACCATGCTACAATTCAAAATTGTTCATTATTTTTGAACATTTTAAATCCTGTATTCTCATTCATCGACTTCAAAATTCCTCGTCAGACACAGCAGAGATGCTTCTAGACATTGGATCATCAGAATGGAAATTAAAGCGAGTTGTTTTTTGGATTGCTCTAGATTCCCTACATTCTCAGAAGTTAGGCACATCAAGTTTTCCGCAGCTTTATAGATCCAGTTTTTTATGAAATATCTTTGCATCTGTCTTTAAATCCAATCTTATGCAATTCTTCTTGCAATCTAGTCCTCTTATTTTCAGACTGAAATAGACCACTGCATTTTGCGATCACAAACCACAACTTCTGGTTCATGTTAAAAACAGCATAAATGCCATGAGGTTCCCTGTGCAGGAATGTGATTTTATGGCTGAACCTGATATTGGAGCTCCTAATTGCAAAATGTAGTTCATTTTCTATGAACGTGGTGATACACCATTTTCAACATTACATGCAATGCTAGTAAACTTCATTGACATTAACAATCTACGGTGTTGTGCTTATCATAATTTATGACAATCGTTGATTTTAGAGAGTGCGATTGAAGAAAGCGCCCATGTTTGTTTCCAATGACTCGGCGGAGAGAGTTTCAATAAAATGGATTACCTAAAGCCAAAAAATTTACTCCTCGCCTATTTTATACATTTTGGTACACAAAATATTTGACAAAACGACGAAGAAAATAATTAATGATCCATTTGGCGCCTCAACACTACCACCGATATTTTACACGATAATACACACACTGAAAAAAAATTCTCTGCGTTTTTACCAAGGTCCGTTAGTATATACCTTTACCATCTCACTTGTTTTACCAATTATTGGTGATTTTACCAAAACAGACTGGTAAGCTTACCTAAAAACCGGTATTTTTACTGTTTTATTCAGGTAAGAATACCACTTTTATTGGTAATCAATTCCCGGCAACTTTGCCATTTTATCTCGGTAATTCTACCACAGTCGATAAAAAATATTGGCGTTTTTACCAAGGTCCAGTAAAATTACCGAGAAAATTCAATAATTTTACCGAGATTTCTTGGTAAAATTATCAATTCCATAAATGGTAATTTTACCAAGAAAAAACTGGGATCAAAGAGAACCCTGAATTCTTCGTAATTTTACCCTTTTCTCAGTAAATACACCGAGATTTTTTTTCAGTGCAAAAAAAAACCAAAACAGGTGCACATAACTTGCAAATAACACATTAAAACATTGCACAAAACGAATTTATTAGCATTCGAGCATAAATTGCAACGAGTGGGTCAATTTTGAAGACAGTTCCTGGTCAGCTTTTTGTTTCGAGGGAACGATTTTTCTGGAACGTTATCTGAATATTGTTATGAGCAGGGCGACGCGGATCGTTGACCATGTGAATTTAAATTCCAAATTTTCCTCCACAAAAAGGCGTACCTCCATTTTGAGATAAGCCCCACCGTGCTTGCGTCTACACAATTTTCACGGTTTCAGTGGAGGTGAAGTTAAGCCTTTTCCAGAGCCGGCCGACCAAACGCGATGTCAACACCGCCGTGCTCAGGAAGAAGGCTGTATGAACATTCGAGAGTTGCCAAATTTCCCCGAATTAAGCACGTATTTTTGAGAAAAGTTATGCACAGTTTTCTTTGAAATTTTCAGATATTGTAGATTAAATTGCGATCAAAATTGCCTGAAAAATTGGAGGGAAAGTATTCAGAATTTTTCCTGTAAATTATTTTTAATGAAAAAAATATGGCAACGCCTGAATGCTCGTACGGCGTTCTTCCTTAGCACGGCAGAATTGGAACATGCAGTAACGTTAACTCCGTTGTGTCATTACATTGTGTCAGAATTTAGGAGTGTCTCCTGCCATTGATCACTCCAGTTCATGTCCTGAATGAACTTTTAATATTCGTATCGAGGTTTGAAGAAGATTATGTACAATTTCAACACCTCGGACCGAAATCTACTACCTTGTATGTGTAGGCATCCACGAAAGAAGAAACAAAAAGAAGAAAAGAAAAGAAAACGAAAAGAAGAAGAAAAGGAGAAAAAAAGAGGAATAGAAGAAAAAAAGAAGAAGATAAAGAAAAGCTATTTCCACTCCCAACGTCAACGAGAGCTGGACGACTACGTCGTTCCACAAGACCTGCTTAGGTTCGGTTGGGTCATACCACTATTCCGACTCGTAGGAGCTCGGGTGGTATACGTCGTAAAATTGAAGGCGCATTGAATAAGTGGCACTGCTAAGTGAGGATGTCTACAGTAAGAAAACTCTTATCGACGATTTTGACTTGAGATCACAAGCGAAAAAATATTTATCATGATGTACATGTATTTGCACAGTTCTCTAGAGGAGCTTAGTTTTTTTTAGATTAGTACTTCACAGGTACGACGCACTTATAGTCTGTCCGAGATGGGAAGGTCCGTGGAAAGTCGGAATTAATTGCACTATGTAGAAACAAGGGTAGCGTTCGAGCCATTGTAAGAGATGAAGACACTGAACCAACCCTGTGTCGTGGCGCACCGCACAGAGGGCTGACTCCTAATGAGTCGCTTGCCGCATCGCGCAGCTCGGCGCCTAGCACAGGAATTTGCGGCTCCAGGTTCATATCCCGGGAAAAACCGCCGCTCCGAGGCCCATAGCCTCCTGTGCGGTGGCTGCGGCGTGCGCGAAACATCGATAAGTGACAGTTGACGAGGGTCGAGACACCCCCACCCTGCAAAATAGTGCTAATTATTCCGACTTTCCACGGACCTTCCCATCTCGGACAGACTATAAAACTCTTGGTATAGGAATATTCTCTAAAAGATTTTATGATAAGTTTTCTGCAAAATGCGCTTGAGCGAAAGTGCACTGTCCGGCACCCAACAACGACAAAATGGATTTTTTTCTGGGAATGGTAGCGCGTTTTACTGTCGAGCGAGGGTGAAATCTGTTGTGCTGGTTTCACATTCATCCTTTGATTTAGCAGACTTACACTTGGGCGGCTGATTTTCAGCCCGAGAACTTAACTTTTAATACCGTTACAATGGTACCTACACAAGTTAAAGTTCCTTAAAAACACAAAGACAATTTTTGGTAAGAACACGCTCACTTGCATAAAAAATCGTTTTTAAAATAACGGGACGCGTTTCGGGACCTTNCTGATGATGGGAGGTAAGGTCCCGAAACGCGTCCCGTTATTTTAAAAACGATTTTTTACGCAAGTGAGTGGGTTTTTACCAAAAATTGTCTTTGTGTTTCCATGAACTTAATTCTGCATAATTTTAGCTGCGTGCGAAAAAAAGAAAAAATTATATTGAAATGAATTGAATTTAAACCCCTTAAAACCTAATTTTATATTTCGAGAGTATGTATGAGCTGAAAATAAGTCTCGTGAACAGAGGCTGTTCGACGTATTAGTCAAACAGTTCAATGATGAACGAAAGGTGACGTCAGAAATTTGCATTACGCAGCAGTCTGAACTTTTGAGTATGCTGCATACAGCGAAATATTTGACGCCACTTTCGTGAACCACCGACTGAACCTGCGTCTAAGAGTATTTTCAATTCCCACTAGTAAAAAAACTACGATGTGCTTTGCCTAAAACATTTGTTTTTACTATCATTTGGGGCTGCAACAAGTGGTGTGAAAATCTACTTTGGAGCTGTTCATAAAATACGTAACGCTGCGATTGGATCCTTCGACCACTTTCCCCAAATACTGCACCGGTGAGTAGAGTCTGTACACCCCCCGCCCCAAAATAATTAGAAAAAAATACGTAAGCTCAGTTTGACTCCTCTTTCCTCCAGTTCGCGTTTCGCGATAAATTTTGGATGAAAAATTGCCGTCTCGCGTTGATTTTTCATCTTAGATTTTGGAAAGATGGGCGCTTAAGCCATGGTTGCTACAGAATTTGGCGAATGAAATTCCCTAACATTTGAGTAAAATTCCCCGTTAATGGGACGGCGTTAAACAGAAAGCAACCAAGCCACATCAGCTATTGCCAAATTTAACAAGGAAATTTTATTTTTTACGTGAGAACTTTCGTGCGGATTTCTTTGAAAATTGTGAGGAATTTACTTTACTTTGAATTGGACGTATGTCTATCAAACGGAACTATGTGCATCAAGACATGAGCCCTAAGACCCATAAGAATATATGCATTCCAGGGCTTACGTCATAATGCACATGGTTCCGTTTAATTGAAATACGACCAATTATGGAGCAAATTCACTGAAATTTGCACAAAATTCCGCACAATCGTTTTCATGTAAAAAATTAAATTGCCCGATCAGATTTGGCAATAGCTCATGTGGCTTGGTTCCTTTTTGTTTAAGACGGTCCAATTGTAGATACACCAGGTAGTTAAAAAGACATAATTTGAAATAGTTTTCAGGTAAAATTTCTTGTTCAAAATGTCAAATCCATTCTAGAGAGCAAACAAAGGGTGATTAACAATTTTCTTCTGACACTTCCATCATTTTCTTTGACATTTCCTGGGATTCCCTGACTTTGGCAACCCTGGCGCTTAAGCGCACATTTTGAAGTTACGTTTCGTGGCCTTGAACGTATTTTCCTCCTGCAACGCAAGCACAGACCCCCCTTTCCCCTTGAGCGTTACGTATTTTATGAACGGCTCCTTAAACCGCGGGAAAAACAAAATGGGAGAAGGACTTACGAATGCGGTAAGAGCGGCTCAGTGACTCCTCTTGAGGACTTCCGACCTCTGTTTTGAATGCGAACTCAAACTCACCTGAAACAGAAGAGAGATAATCCATTAGTATATTGAGTAGAAACAACGTACACACAATTGTTTTTTCTATGCACATACGCGTTTCGCGGAGAAGCCCAAAATTGAGGCTCCTAATTCCAAAAAGAAGCCCGATTTTCATTATAGAAGACAGACTTACATCACGAATCAAGGTATACGAATTGATGCGTTATGAAATGTGTTTCCTCTCAAATAAAATTACACGTAGAACAAAGTTTATGCATAGAAAATGTATGAAATTAACTCGTAACCAAAATATTAACGTTTTTATTTGGTGCTGAATACGAAAAATTTGAATTTCCTGCTCACATGAAATCTACTTAAATCAAATCGCTCACTACAACGGTTTTTGCAACACTGGAAAAAAAACACATTGGATCTAGAGTCCAGACTCTTGAAAACATTGACAAGAAAAAGGACTCTTGATTCAATCAGATTTAAGCTTAAATCAAAAGGATATCCGCTTAAATGAAGAGGCTTGCTTCTTGATTTAAGCTTAAATCTGATTGAATCAAGAGTATTTTTTCTTGTCGATGTTTTTAAGAGTCTGGACTCTAGATCCAATGTGTTTTTTTCCAGTGAAGTCTCAAAAAACAGTGTTCCTTTCTCACATGTGTTGTTTAAAGCGTAAACAAAGTGCAAGTAGAGTATCTAGACAGGAAAAGTACGGACATGTCGAAATATATGAGGCTCACAGGACCTTAAAGGGCAGCCAACTACCTAGCACAAAAACTGTCACTGCCGATCACCAGATTCCAAATTCCGATATCAAACCAAGATGGTCAAGAATGTTCATAAACGAGCATTTTTCCTTAATAATTTTAAAGGAAAAATACTTCGGAAAATTCTGATACTGTTCATACATTGAATATTTTAAAAGTAAAGATGGAGTTGCACGATTTTAAAAACACTACAATAGTCCTGCGGTTCCTTTTTGCTAAATTCGATCCAATTGGCTGCCCTTTTAGGGCCTAAAAGCTCCATGACTGACTTCAAAATTACCGGCATGTTCGTGATCTCCCTCTATTGGTACACCTACTCTGAGCTGTAAATCAACTTGAGGTTTTCGTATTTTCATAATACAAAGACAAAATTGGAGGAAATTTAAACATTGAGGGCCACAAGGGGTGAACCTCAGTACCCGTTTATGTGCATTGGTCCGACGAACGACGCAAGTTGGTCGGAGCAAATACTTTTGATCCGCGAGCGATTGACTAGTTTACGTGGATGCCCACGTGTATTGGCAGTGTCCAAGCAAACAATTGCACGTGCTTCTAATCGCTAGTTTTTTACACAAAACCTCTACGATCGCACGTCCTGCGTATACGTTCGTTCAATTGATACAAAAAACGAGATCGTAAAATAATGTGCCCCTTCACATAAACCTGTAACGCAAAGAGGGGCGAGATTCATGGAAAGTAAGATATTGGATGGATCATTGGCGAGGCGTGAGTGATCGATTATCGATACTTCTCCAATTGAAGCTATGGGTAGGAATCGATTATTTAGATGTACGATGCGGAACCCCGTTTATCGATCCTTTCCCATAGGGTTAAATGACAGATCAAAAAATTCGGTCCGCTCAGTTGGTTTACAGGGTTGCCACAGAATTTAGAGAATGAAATTCCCTGACATTAAACAGATTTCCCTGACACACTTTGGTGAAATTCCCTGACAATGGAAGATGTGACGGGTGGTTAAGGAGGCAAAATTGAAAAGAGTTTTTGGGCAAAATTTGTTGTTCGATACCTCAAACCCATTCTAGAAATCAAATGAAGGTGAGCTAACAAATTTTCCCTGACATTTTCGTCATTTTCTTCATTTTCCCAGACATTTCCCTTTGTTCCCTGACTTTTAAAAATCCCCTGACATTTCCCGGTTTTCCAAGTTTTCCCTGACTGTGGCAACCCATTTTTGACCCACTTTGGTGTAATTCCCTGACAATGGAAGATGTGACGGATGGTTAAGAAGGCATAATTGAGAAAATTTTTTGGGCAAAATATTTGTTGTTCACAACCTCAAACCCATTCTAGAAAGCAAATGAAGGTGAGCTAACAAATTTTCCCTGATATTTTCGTCATTTTCCCGGACATTTCCCTGTTTTCCTTGACTTTTAAGATTCCCCTGACATTTCCCGGGTTTCCAAGTTTTCCCTGACTGTGACAACCCATTTTTGACACATTTTGGTGAATAATTCCCTGACAATGGAAGATGTGACGGATGGTTAAGAAAGCATAATTGAAAATCGTTTCCAGGCAAAAGTTGTTGCTCGAAACCTCAACCCCATTCTAGAGAGCAAATGAAGGTGATTTGACAAATTTTCCCTGACTTTTTCATTTTCCCGGAAATTTCCCTGCTTTTCTTGACATTTTCGTCATTTTTCCTGACATTTCCCTGTTTCCCCTGACATTTCCGTCATTTTTCCTAACATTCCCCTGTTTTCCCTGACATTTTCGTCGTTTTCCCTGACATTTCGACGGTGAAAGTCGGCAATCGCATGACTCGGTTTGCGACGTCGCAGACTTCCTGTCATACTTTATTTTTTAAACGGAAAACTACTCGACGGTAATTCTTTAAAACTGCCATGATTTTTCTTCTATGTGCGAGGAAAATTCTGCAAAAGCTTCAAGGAATCATGTCCATTTGTTCTCCTTTAAAAAACTAACATAGTTGCGGAGATTTTCAGACACCGCAAACGAGTTATGTGATTGCCGACTTGCACCGTCGATTTTCGTCATTTTCCTTGACATTTCCCTGACTTTGTAAAATTCCCTTACATTTCCCGGTTTTCCCTGACTGCGGTAACCCTGGGTCAATAGCCTGAAAAGAGTAAAATATTCTATAGGTGGCGTGAATTTACCTCTGATGGAATTGTTGCCCTGGGCGTTGTGGCTGCCGGCCTGGCGTTCCTCGGGCGAGAAGGCCCCCCCGGGCGCGGCGGCGGGGGGTGGCGTGGTGGAGGAGACATCCTCCGGGGGCCCCGGGCGGGGGGCGGGGGCGTCGGGCGGGGGCGCGGGGGCGCCGCCGGGGGGGCGGAAGGGCCCCCAGCTCAGGCTCCGGCTCGCCTCGGTCTGGAGCAGCTCCTCCAGGGCGATCGCCGCGGAGTCCATCGTTCTACTCGAGTCGGGAGGCCCGGGCACCCGCTCTCGCGCATCCTGCACCGCGCCTCACGCCACTCATCCAAATCCCAATCAGGAGTTCGGTCCTCTCCGCTGATTCTCCGTCCAAGGGACTCTCCTCCGGGTGACGTCACCAAATGACGTCACCGGATGACGTCACCGAATCCTCGGCTCCTCCCGCTTTCGACTCGGGTTCCCTTCTTCGTTGACAAATGACGTCACAAAAGCAAATTTGCTGGGCTTCAATGTCGGTTCCGATGGAGGTCTTCCTCTTAAGGGAGCTACTGGTGTTGTAAAGGGATGTTTCGTGCCACCAACAAGGGTTTCAAAGAGTTCTTGTTTAATAAGCGAATGACTTTACAAAAGCAAGTTTGCTGGCCTTCAACTTTGGTTCCAATGGAGGTCTTCCTCTTAAGGGAGCTACTGTTGTCGCAATAAGGAGTTTCGTGCCACCAACAAAGGTTGCAAAGGGTTCATGTTTAAAAGGTGAATGACGTCACAAAAGGAAGTTTGCTGGCCTTCAACTTCGGTTCCGATGAAGGTCTTCCTCTTAAGGGAGCTACTGGTGTTGTAAAGGGATGTTTCGTGCCACCAACGAGGGTTGCAAAGAGTTCTTGTTTAAAAAGCGAATGATGTCGCAAAAGCAAGTTTGCTGGCCTTCAGCTTTGGTTCCAATTGAGGTCTTTTCTCTTAAGGGAGCTACTGGTGTCGCAATAGGGAGTTTCGTGCCACCAACTAGGATTGCAGAGGGATTCTTCCTGTTGAATGAGCGAATGACGTCACAATGGAGTTTGGTGGCTCCCTTAATTAGTCTTGCGAATGACGTCACAATAGAAAGTTCGGTGTCCTTCAACTTTGATTCCAAGGGAGGCCTTCTTCTTGAGGGAGCTACTGGTGTCAGGATAGGAAGTTCCGTGCCACCAACTAGGGTTGCAAAGGGTTCTTGATTGAAGAGCGAGTGATGTCACAAAGTTTGGTGCCTCTCCAGTTGAGAGTCTCAAGTATAGGGTTGCAAAAGGTTCTTGTTTAATGAGTGAAGAATGTCACAATAGAGTTTGGTGGCTCCCTCAACCAGGGTTCCAAAGGGATACTGTTTAAAGAGCGAAGAACTTCACAATAGAGTTTGGTGGCTCTCTCAACCAGAGTCGCAAAGGGATTTTTCCGAGGGAAATGTTGGCAGAGGGATAATAAATGACGTCACAGAAGAGAGTTTGGTCCCTCTCAACTAGAGTTGCGCGGGGTGCCTGTTTGACGTCACAATATAGTTCGGTGGCTTGATAATTTTGGAACACGCTGACGACAGAGGGTTTTATATTTTGGTGGAGAAAAGGATTCTCGGTGTTCGGTGAGCTGATACGATAGAGTGTTACGTCTCTTGATAACTAATGACGTCACTATGGGAATTTCAATGAATGGCTGACGTCAGAGCTGAACGTTCACTATGTCATCGCGCGCAACCTCAAACTTAGGACGCGAGTGGTTGCTACTGAAATAATTTCACTCCGGCACTGAGTCATGCACAACGACGGACTGAAACACGCACTTGATGGTGGATGTATTCCTTCTTGGTAGATTAGCGAATGATATTATGCCGTCACTCATTTTTAACTGATGGAAAACGTTTCGAACACTTTAGCTCCCGTTGGAAACAACGTTCAATCGAAGTTTTTAGTTTTTCTTTTCTTCCTCAACATTTTGCCAGCACGGTTCTTTTTTACGTTGTAACACTTCTCCCGTCAGATTGCAGTTTGATGCGTTAGGAAAATGTTAGAGTAACAACGGAGTCGCAGGCTGGATGTAAAAAAAATATCGTAAATTATAGTAATTCAAACTTAGTAAGCCCCGTCTCAGGGAGGTTATATCATTATTTTCTCATGCCCACCTCACACTCTGAAAAAGACAACTTTGAATGAGGTTTCGTGATGTTCCTTGATTTTAAATTCGTAAATTTGAGATTTCTTCTTTCACTTTTGCAGCTAAAATTGCGGGATATCCCACAAATTAGAGAGAAAAAAATCGATCAGATGCACGAATGTCACCCACTTTCAACTTTCATTTCCAGTGTGTAAAGAAGGCATTAAAAACTCTATTATTTTGGAGTCCCTAGCATATCCTTAATGAAAGCGGTAGGATTAATGTACGTTTGAAAGTATTTGTGCTAAAAGGAGCTATGTACGAATGATTTAAATCAAAAGCCCCTATGTATTCAGAATCGCGTGCTTCTTAGGTTCTTTTCATTTGATTCACTTGCACATAGGTCATTTCAGCAGAAATCCGCCCGTTTTAGCTCCATGTAAACTCCTGCACCTCACAAAAATCGTTAAGTTTACGCGTTTGCTCAAAATCCATGACACGAGATCTGCCGTACTAAAGTAAAACGCCGTATGAACATTTGAATGTAGCCAAAATTCCTCCGATAAAATATTCACCTTCGAAGAAATGTATAAATATTTTTCCTTGAAAATGTAGGTTAATTTATCAAATGGCGCTTAACATTCTCGGATTAATTGAAGGAGAAATATTCCAACGTTTTCCAGAAAAGTTTTGTTTCAATAAAGGTAATGTAGCAACGTCAGATATCTCATACGATGTTCTTCGTTAAAACGTCAAAGATGCGATGACGCACCACACTGAAAAAAAAAAAAAAACACATTGGATCTAGAGTCCAGACTCTTGAAAACATTGACAAGAAAAAATACTCTTGATTCAATCAGATTTTTGCATAAATCAAAAGGAAATCCGCTCAAATTAAGAGGCTTGGTTCTTGATTCGAGCAAAAATCCGATTGAATCAAGAGTACTTTTTATTGTCGATGTTTTTAAGAGTCTGGACTGTAGATCCGATGTGTTTTTTTTTTCCAGTGTGGGACTTAAGCGGTTTCTGCTTACGAGGGCGGCGCAGCCGAAGGCGCAGAAACGCCGGTCTGGTCTGGCTTTTGCGCAACGCACCTGATGGTCTTGAAACGATGAGGGTCAGGTGCGAAGCGTGAACCATCGCCATCGATATTTTCCCGTTTGAAGTTACGGTGAAAAATCGATTAGTAAGGTACGCCCTGATAAGCGATCCTTATCCGCGGGTTAAACGGGCGATCGATCGATTAATCGCCACCGATGGGGGTTAACCGACCCTGAGCGGCGCGGTGCCCACACGTCTACCGGTGAGATAATTTTCGATTGCTCAACCCAAGGTTGGACGCGTACACGACTGAACCGCGTCGCGCCGCACAGTGGATCGAGTCAATCGGAGAGGTCGGACATAAAATTTTTGACAAAAAATGCGAATTTTGATGTTTATTTCGTCACATTTTTAACTATGACGGGTGCTTTAAGAAGAAAATTTTACGAGGAAACCAATGGATCTATTTCTAGAATCTCGAATGTTAGCATAAACGGAGTTATAAGCGTTTAAAGTTTCCAGCTTTTGTCCGACCTCCCCCAACGACTCGATCCTCTGTGCGCCGGACAGTGGATTGAGCCAATGAAAGGGGTTGAACAAAATTTGGAAACTTTAAACGCTTATAACTCCATTTAAACAAAAATTGGAGGTTCTAAATGTAGCCCCGTTGGTTTTCTCGTGAAATTTTCTTCTGAAACCAACCATAACAGTTTAAAATGTGACGAAATAAACATCAAAATTGGCATTTTTTGTCAAAAATTGCATGTTCGACCTCTCCGATTGACTCGGTCCACTGTGCGCCGGTCGGGGGAAACTCCCGAGTCTGTCAGACGCAATTACGACCTGAGACTCGAAGCGGTCCCGCCAGCAGACCTGCAACCGGTTTAACTCGAACGACTGGGGTTGGTGGTTTCTGATCGATTACTTCCAGAACGATTTTTGGGCGCAAATAGTAAAATAAATTGCATCATAAGCGGATCCAGACATTTCGGACGGAAGGTCTGAGGGACTCCCCCTGGAAACTTTTCAAAATTACAGTGCGTCTATTATGCAGTTTAAGTCAATTTTGTCATAAATAATTACCAAATCTAAGCGTCGAAACTATTTTTGTCGAATGTTGATCCAAATTTCAAAGGTTGCGACGGCAATGATGCAATTTTGGTAATTTTTCAATGAGTCGAACAACTTGTGTAACATTCTGGTCAAAAATTAGAAAGTTGTGACGTCAATGACATCATTTTGGCAATTTCTCAACAAAGCAAAATGAAATAATTTTGGTAAAATTGCGTTCCAAATTTCAAAAATTGTGACAGCATAGACGTCATAATATGTGTAATTTTACAATGAAACAAAGTCGAAATATTCTTGTAAAATTTTGGTCCAAATATCAAAAGTTGTGATGACAATGACGTCTTGCTCGCAATTTTACAATGTTCTCATCTTTGACGATAAAATATCTCTGTTTGTTTCAGGGGACGAGCGATGAATCGCGATTCATCATTCAAGTTTGTCTTGGTTAATTATCAAATAGTGAGAATGTCGACAAAGTTGCGCCTTCAAGTAGAGCGATACCGCCCGCCTTGACTGCCATCCTACAATGATCGCAACGAGCGAATTTAATCACAACGACTGTATTTCTGAAGAAACGGATTCTTTGAGACGGAAACGTTTGTAAGTAGACAAAGAACAAATATTTATTCAACCGGATTCCGATCGATTATCTCTAAAACCTTTTTACAATTTTATATGTGTACCACGAGGACTGAATATTTCTACTGCTAATAACTACTTTTAAAAAATTATTGAAACTAAAAAAAAACTTATCATGAAAAATATTTTGGAACGCGTGCTTTAATAATGGGATAACTGAAGGGATCACCAGAAACAGTCCCCCTTTCCCTTACAAGAGAACTTAACTACATACCAATTTTGCCAAATTTCCCTTCGTACATTGCATTTTTATCACAGGAATCTTGGGCATTTCTCCCTGAAAATTGAGGGGGAAAATTGCACTGGTACAGGGTTGTAAAATATTGAATTGCTTTAGCCAATTTCGCAACATCGGAATAGAGTTCCAGTTAAGTTTCTTTGTGCGGGAATCAACGATTTCTGACATTTAGGGTCAGCGTTATATTTATTGCACGGAAAAAAGTGAAATTGCTGATTAAACAAGTTTGTAGTTGAAAAAAAGTCTCCGAAATGTTTCAATGCAGATCATGATAATTTAACCACCCCCGCAGTTACATTAGTTTTCCACATTGTAAAATGTATGTTTGAAACATGTCTTACATATTTTTTAACAACTTAATTCTAAAATCTGCAATCCATTTTTCCGTACGGTTTATGAACATGACAAGAAAGTCTGTAAAAATTACTTTGCACTGGAAAAAAAACACATTGGATCTAGGGTCCAGACTCTCGGAAACATCGATAAAAAAAATACTCTTGATTCAATCGGACTTTTGGTTAGATCAAGAACCAAGCCTCTTAATTTGAGCGGATTTCCTTTTGATTTAAGCAAAAATCTGATTGAATCAAGAGTAATTTTTCTTGTCAATGTTTCCGAGAGTCTGGACTCTAGATCCAATGTGTTTATTTTTCCAGTGTGAATTTGTGTCATGATGTGATTTTTACCGCTGAATCCATAATTTAATAAAAAAAAACTAATAAAAATTAAAAAGTCCTATTGATAAAAAAGAAAAATACTCTAGAATAAGCTCTTAGACAAAGGGCTACACGTCCCGTCATTCCTCTAGGCTCCATCCCACCCCCCGACAAACTCGGCAGCGATTCGGCCGTAGTCAGGGGGTAGTTCCGCGTCCACCCGCGTCGTCGGGGTTGGAATTTCGTCGTCGCGGGGTGGGCGGTGACGCGGTCCCCCGGGGGAGGGGGCGGGCGGGAAGGAGGGGGGGCGCCCGGTCGTCGACCCCCGGCTAATTGCGCCTGTATGCCATTTAAAAAGGAGCCTTTTCTCGCCGTTTTAAATGAGACTACTCGGAAACGTGTTCCTTCCGAGTCTCGCGAGCCGCGTTGCAAGACCGGGAGAGATCCCCGCAGAGATAGCGACGCGACGGCCGCCCGGCCCGGAAAATCCGGCCCCGAGACCCGGAGAACCCGAGAGATTCGGATCGCGAAAAGCGGGGGCCTGTTTCGGTTCAAAGGTGGGCGACTGCCCTCTCTTGACTCGGTGGTTGGAGTTCATTGAGGACGCTCCGGTGATTTTAGGTGGTTTCAGCAAGACTAAGACAGGGTGTCTACTGAAACAGGCTGGCCAAAAATCAGTACTTTTACAGTACTTTTTCAGTATATTCCCAAAAATAGAATTTCCTCAATAGAAAAATTCAGTACTTTTTCAATACCTCCAATTGACGAAATTCGAAGGATTTCAAAGATTTTAATTTCTCGCTTAAAATGCGACAAAAATCACAAAAAATGAAAAAATTCCGGACCTTCTTGCGGAATTTCCGCACTTTTTCAGTACTTCCGGACCGCCCTTAAAAAATCGGTACTATTTCCAGACTTTCCGGAAATTCCGGACTTGTACAGACCCTAATTGGGGACGCTCCGGTTGATTTTAGGAGTTTTCAGCAAGATCAGGCTCACAAAATAAGTAAATTCAACAAGAATAAATGTTTCCTCAAACTTACTCGGTTGACACAGACAAATAAGAGGGTACCTTCGGTGAGTGAGCTTTGGAGTGAAATCTTTCGATCCATGATCACAAGGCGATCGATCTGGAATCTGACTGAAAACCTCTAGAATTTGCCTCATAATAGGTACTAAAAATTGCAAATTTGCATGTTTATTTCGTCACATTTAAAATTTCAAGGGATGCTAATGAAAGTAAATTTTACGAGTAAACCAACAGTACCACCTTCAGAACCTCAAATTTGTGTATAAACGGAATTATGAGCGTTTAAAGTTTCCAAATTCTGTCCGACCTCTCATTTTGACCCGATCCACTGTGCGCCACTGCTTTCCAGCACTCGTTCGGCGGAATGTAAGCTTTAAGCTGGAGCACCCCCTAGCGTCAAATCCTTCGACTTGTCTTTAAGCCGGCGTGGCGACGTTGGAGGAACAGAATCCTCAATTAACGTCCACAATGATGGCGCGCTGAATACTGAAAAGTCCTCAACGTCGGGTTGTCGAACTGCGCTCTCGAGTATCAAATCCCGTTTTAATTGCATCAGAGAAAGAGAGTCGCGATGAAACGTGACAACAGTCCTCGAGCATTTGAACAATACTCATTGCGTCGCTCTTGACAAACGTCCAACTGCGAAACTTCGCTTTAAGTTCCATCGCCCCCCCCTCCTCAACCTGAAGAGTTAAATCATACGTTTTCGACCGAAAACATTTTTTTTCATATACTCGACAAAGGGTTGTCATGAAGGCAAAGAGTCAGATTTTTGCGACCAGCGGGCTACTTGCTGAAATTGGTAGACAAAACGATAGACAAGGAAGACATGAGGAGTACGGAGCGATCGTATCGGTTGAAATGGGAGGTTCCTATAGACTAAGGGAGAACATGATGGACTAACAGTAAGGTCGCTCGTGGGTTGCCGTTAGTTAATCAATTACCTACCTCCTATGTCCATTGCCAACACCCGCTCTCACCAATAGGATCGCTCCATATCTCTTCTGTCCTCTTTGTCTATGGCTTTGTCTATCAAATTCAACAATCAGTCCGCAGGATGTTTAACTGTGCATGCCTCATAATTTCCTACTAAAAATGTAAAGCTGACGAGAAAAATTCGTTAAGCACTGGGATAAAAACACATTGGATCTAGAGTCCAGACTTTTAAAAACATCGACGAGAAAAAATACTCTTGATTCAATCAGATCTAAGCTTAAATCAAGAGCCAAGCCTCTTAATTTGAGCGGATTTCCTTTTGATTTAATCTTAAATCTGATTGAATCAAGAGTCCTTTTTCTTGTCAATGTTCTCAAGAGTCTGGATTCTAGATCCAATGTGTTTTTTTTTTTCCATTGTCTTTAATTAAAATTTAGTGATAAGAGTATATTTTCTACGAGGGATGCCACTTCCAACTTATTCTCCTAACATTCTTTGGTTCCTTTCCACCGAGCGCTACCCATTCGTCATTCCCCAAACGAAAGAACTAAACTTTATTCCAAGATCGCAAAATTAACTCAAACTGTTCAACTTTTCACACAAAAGTAAAGCTGTACGACTTCTAGCAAAACGTTGCTGATTTTCGCATGTTATCAGAAAAAAAATTGGAGAAATTTTCGAGTAAGGACGTCTACAGTTTACGACTACACGGGGAAAAAATTATTAGGGGTCATCCCCTAAAATTGTGGTACTACCACAATTTGTTGGATGATACAGACCTTTCTAATTAATTGTGGTAGAACCGCAACTCAAGTTAGGGTATTACCGCAACATTGGGTTAGTAACCTAATTTATTGGGGTACGACCACGATTAATTCGTGTACTACCACAATTAATTCGTATACTACCACAATTAATTGGAAACGTCCACACAAACACAAAGTATCACACAACAAACTCGTGCTTTTTTATCCGTGTTGAAATAGAATTTACAAGCGGCAATTTTGCAACGTTGAAATTTAGTTACGTTCTTCCTCTCGAGAAAAGATGCATCGACCCAACACGATTTCATTATCCGCGCGCGAGAATGTATGTTATCAAAATATATGAAACGTCGTCGGTTTAAATCCGTCGAATGACGTCACGGCGGCTCCGAGGCTCGGGCATTAATTCGGCACCGGTTCGATGAATTACGGTTTTGCGATAGGTCGATCGATCCGCCATCTAAGCCCACGGAGAAGTATCGATCATCGGAGTGGACTCCGATAATCGATTCTTGACCGTAGTTTCAAATGGGACGGTATCGATATTCGATGATCCACGCCTCGCCGCTGGTGAATTATTCATCGGGTCGAAAACAAACGTTATCGGGGCGAAAAAATTGATGTTTTGACAGCCAATGAGATGCGACCTGGTCGGGTGGTCACCGGGCGCGGTTCTGCGTTGGGGAGCAGCAACGGGGGGCAACGACCCGGCTACGAAAAAATCGCGTAAGTCGGAACTAAGATTTCGCAGAAGTAGGTGATTTTCTCTTCGGGAAAACAAACCCTGGAGAAAAGAAAAAACACATTGGATCTAGCGTCCAGGCTCTTGAAAACATTGACAAGAAAAAGGACTCTTGATTCAATCAGATTTAAGCTTAAATCATAAGGAAATCTGCTCAAATTAAGAGGCTTGCTTCTTGATTTAAGCGAAAATCCGATTGAATCAAGAGTATTTTTTCTTGTCGATGTTTTTAAGGGTCTGGACTCTACATCCAACGTGTTTTTTTTCCAGTGAAGACTGGCGACTCGTGAATTGCGTGAGTCCAAAATCGGTAGATTATTGAAATGACAGGCAAAGCTATAGACAAAGGAAACGACGGGAACATGAAGTTGTCCTATTGGTTGAGACGCATGCTCCTTATAGACTCAGAGGGAAATGATGGACTAACTAACAAGAGTTTCTCGGAGCTTCCTGATAGGTAGTTTATCACTTTCGTCCTTTCTCCATTGCAACCACTCGCTCCCACCAATAGGATCACTCTATTTCCATTTTATCTCCTTCGTCTATCGCTTTGTCTATTAATTCAAAACAATCAGCCTGCACTGGAAAAA